TGCTAATTGTGAGTAAACAAGAATAAAAAAACAAAACAATCGCAAGCAACAAAAAATTTGAAATTTCGAGCCAAATTCAGAATGAGATTGTTTTAAATTCTTGAATTCTTGTTTTCATCGAGGTAGCAAACAGAATTTGAATTTAAACATGAAGAATTACAGTGCAATCAAGTTATGGAAATGTGTGCCTCATTTATATTTAGCATTTAAAAAATTTACTTTTTGGACCATATTGGAAGAACAGAATATTCAAATTTTCCTCAAAGTCTTCCAAATGAAGCCAAACAGCATTCTAATTCTCATTAACTGAAAGGTTGTCAATTCATAAATTCAGATTTTTTTGCCCATCCCTGATAGAACCAGTCAGCCAGATCAACTCTTTTAAGTCTTGGTTACATACCTCCAGATGTACGCTTTGGTCATGATACCTTCAAGACGGTCACTGAACTCAAAAAATGCTTCAGACTTAAGGAGAAAACATAAACAAAACAAGGTAAAGGCAAATTCAAAAATATAATCAGCTCATGAATGATTATGCATCTCATAGCCAATCACGAATCCCGCCAAAACACAGGTGTTTATAGAAACGGCATTACCTTCATCAAACGATTGAGCCTGAAGACAGACTTGAATCCAAATGGGAAATATAACAGGTCTGAAGGCAGGATGGATAGGACATCATTCTGAAAGGACAGGAAATATTTCATGGCTTTCTGGGATAAAATGCTATTTGGAAGATGAAAGTCAACTGAAATATCTGCAGTACCTGAAACCTTGACGATTCTCGATATTTCTTTTTAATCACAACTCTGTCATACTGAAAGAAAATTATGAAAAAAATGAGAGGTACTCATTAGTAGTGTTAGAATTTAATAATAGAACTTACAGTAGAAGTCTATGGAGCAAGACATTGAACACTGTGTTATATAAAAAGACTGTGTGAACATAAAATGAAGCTATCAATTTTTTCTTACAATGATGTCTCCCCCTTTACAGAACTGCAGTCGTGGCTGGAAAACGATCATGTCGATGACATACATGATGTCAGCAATGATGTCCAAGGTAAACCACAATGGAACGGCCGCTGGGTCATGATACGGGAAGGCCATACGGACCGGTATGAACCACAGGTTATAGTTGAAGGCAATGGTCACCAAGCTTAGCCAAGCAATATACCTGCGGTCTGGTGAAAAACACAAGAACAGAGCAGACGAAAGCATAGAAACGGGGTCATTTTATGTCTGCATATGACATAAATTATGTTAGCATATTTTGAAATGTAACCTGTGAACGGATCGATGGAGGTGTCCAGTATTTTGTCCATTCTGTTCTCGATGGGCTTCAGCAGGAAATCTACACAGGTGTACTTCATTTTTGGGTAGATGGACTTCTGCTCTTTGTCTGCCTTGTCATCTTTCTTCTCCTCCTGTTTTTCCTCTTTCTTTTCCCCAGGCTTGTCTGCTTTTTTCTTCTCCTCCTCCTCTTTCTTCTTCTTTTCTTCCTCCTCTTTCTTTTTTCTCTCTGCCTCCTCTTTCTTTTTCTTCTCCTCCTCCTCTTTTCTTTTCTTGTCCTCCTCTTCTTTTCGTTTCCTCTCCTCCACCAACTTCAAGTAGTCATCCTTTCTCAGGACAGGTGCTGGAACAAACACAAAATACCTGTTAAGCCACTTCTTATTGTCTTGTTATGTGGTGACGTCCTGTCATATTTACATATTATTTCAGCTGTATGTATGTATTATTTCAATAAGTTCTATATTACAGATATATCATTAATTGCCGAAGCATGGATTGATTTGTACTCACTGACAGGAGGGCTGCGCTCTGGAGAGGATGCATAGGGGTCAATGATCTTTTCTTTAAACTGTTCTGTCCGTTGCCGGTAATGCTGAACAATCTCAATGAGTTGAGCATCAAAATGCTTGCTTATCACAATGGGTCGGGACTCAGGGGAAGGGGCCTCCTCACTATAACAATCCAACAGATAATAACACAAGGTGAAATCAATATATTTAACATATATAGTAATATATCACTTAATATACAGACATTTAAAATCCTCAACTTCCAGAAACTTTAAAGAAACAAATAAATACATTTCTAATGAACAAAAACCATGGTTTACCTATAGTAACCATGTTTTTTGGGGGGGGTTTATTTGTAGGAAAACCATGGTTAATTTTCTTAAGGGTGTTTACAGTAACATGCTTTTTAGTGGGTATTTTTACGTTGCTCCTGGTAGGCTATTCATCGGATCCGTGTAAACACGACTCAAAATTGAGTATAAAGCCTACATGTGATCATTGGTTTAACTCAGGGCTGTCCAAACTCGGCCCTGGAGGGCCGGTGTCCTGCAGAGTTTAGCTCCAACTTGCCTCAACACACCTGACTGGAAGTTTCTATGCCTAGTAAGAGCTTGATTAGCTGCTTCAGGTGTGTTTAATTAGGGTTGGAGCTAAACTCTTCAGGACACCGGCCCTCCAGGACCGAGTTTGGACAGCACTGGTTTAACTTGTTTGATGCTGAACTACTTGTACAAGATCTGAAACTGTTGATGATCTGAAATGTGCTTTTATATGCTGACCACTGCTGGTCATGGAGGCGTATTACAAGTGTAAGTGAAGACCCAGTATATATATATATATATATATATATATATATATAAAATCTTATATGAAACATATAATAAATTATATGAATTATTTAACATAATTTTTGGACAAAATCTTCAATTATTCATTTTAATGAACTTTTTAACTAACCTTTTACTGTAAAACAACTTTAGCTAAAAAAAAAATCTGCTATATCTGCCAAAGCATCATTTTCATTTAGTTTAACTGTACTAAAATAACTCAATCTAAAATTGAAATAAAAATCTATAAAAACAATAAAGATATATTTTAAAAAACAATAATGAATAAAATGAAAAAAAAAAGACCAAACTATTAAAAATGACTAAAAATGTCACTAAAATTAAAATGAAAACTGAAAAATACTAACTAATTCAAAATATTAAATAAAACTATAATAGTGTCAATGATACTAAAATAACACTGATAAATAACATATGCTTTAAAAATAATAAATGCTCCATATAATTTATTATATTATTAAATAATTCATAAAACTATATCCACATTACACATACTACATATACAAAGCATTTATTAATATAATAAATAATATAAAGCATTTATTATTATTTTTACCGAAAATTGTCAATCCAATATTTAAAATGATAGCTAAAATATTTACTGCATTTTAGCAAAATATTTTTAATTTGTTACATGTGCTTAAGATAAAAAATCTGCAGAAATCTTCATAAAGTGCATTATGATTCACTTGTACCTACCTTTGCAGGGGCTGGAGCAGGAGCCGGTGCAGGGGCCGACCTAGAGGCCGAGGCTGGGGTGGGACCCACAGTTGGACCCCCGATGATCTTCTTCAGCTTGCTGAACATGGCTCAGTGGCAGGCAGTGTCTGAGAAGATCTCTGTTGTGTTTATCCTTCTTGTGTGACCACGGCTCCAGTCCTGCTAATGTTGCTGCTTGATGCAATTAGCACTTTTAGACCACTAATACCCATCTGCAAACAGACCTCAGAAGTGAGTTCAGGCCACAATTCATCACAGTGTCTGTCAACTGCAGAGTGAATTCAAAACACGCCTACAGCCACAGATTTGATATATATATTAATATTTCATTTTTGCACAACTATTATATCAATTTATAAAGTTGGAAACCATGTGATGTGTCAACAAATAAACAAAAGAAGTCAAAGTGCTTGTTTCTGGTCAGTATAAACCATAAATATATAAAGTTTGATTCACAGTATGTTTGTATAGTGTTCACAGCCTTTCTAAATCGCAATACAGTGCAGAGAATATCAGCAAATTGTCATCGAGCTTTGAGCAGATTTCTCTGGTGGACCTGCGAGCTGTTCTGCTGGATTAGTTCGGCTCGTATGGAGCGGTGGGCCACTTACTTAATTAAACCTTATAAGCTTTTAGTTCAGCTGAGGGGATTTACTGTTGTGGTTTCACAGGGAACCAGAAGAAAAGACGTCTTTGATCTTACATGCCTTCCATCTCTTTATTCTGCACATTTTCCCCTTTAAAATTCAGAATGGAGCCATGTTCATTTTATATTTCTGTTTCAGTGGTTAAACTGGGTCAGAAACGAATAGAATAGATCTTTATCTTTTATTATTTATATGCTCATGAGTTGCTCGTCATTTGTTATTGAGCAAATTATTATTCATATACTATTAGGCTATTGCTATAAATCTTTTGAATGAGCTTTTATTTTTTATATTTTCAGTTTGAATTTTAATTCTAGATTCAATTTGAGTCATTTTGTATGCTTTAACGATTCGATGCGCTTTTGCCATTTTTAGTTTTGCATTGTTTTTGTGCTTTTTAAATATAACAATGCAGGTTTGTTTTTTTCAGTTTGAATTTTATTTCAAGGCAACATTTCTATTATTTTAATCGAATCGTTCAAAAACAATGATTGGTTTAGGAACCAAACAAATGTCCTAAGAGATTTAATGAGTCATTTATTCCATTTGTTCAAAAACACGACGCTTGGTGACGGTCAGTCAGTTCCGCTTTGGCCTAGTTTGGAAGTATTTTGGCCGCCGGTGATACAAATATAGACAAATAACTGAAATATTATGTCTAAAATGTAAGTTACTCAATATTAACTTCTTGTTTACTGAGTTGTTAGCCTACCTCATTAACTTGCTAAATGTGAGTTGTTAACATAACATTGCTGTTTCGCGATTAGAAGGCGTAATCCTAATCCCAATAAAATATTAATAATCACGCTTTATTAACGATCTTTTAACACGATAGCACTGTTGTACTGTCTGTAATATGAGTAGCCTACAGGACTGTTGCCATGAAACAGGCCAAACACACTTCGACAATAATTTGCACTCGAGTCACCTGATATTTCTCACTGTTACAATGAACTCATGTTATCATTTGCTGCTTTTACAGCCATGCACCGATACCGACATTCAGGTACAGAGACATTTCAAATAAACATGTTAATAATGTAAGGAGTCAGTTGTATTATACATATCATGTATTGTTTACATTGGTTCGCTTTTGTAAATGACAAGGCTGCTCTAACACTGTATACAGACAGAGGAGACCGGGGCTGGTTGTCACATTTTTTACTTTACTGAATGTTTCTAGCTCTGTAAAATTGATTTAAAATCGGATGTTACTGATCTGCTAAACTTTCTACTTTTAACACAGCTGAGCAAAGACTTGCAGACATTGACTACACACACCTGGCACAGCTAACTCAGCTAAATGAAAGGTAGAAATGGTCATTAGTGTGCTAAATTAATTTTTGTTATTATTCCTGAATGTTTCAGTTGCCTTTGAACTAGTGTTTTAATATCCCATTTTAAAAACAAGATGGTAATAAAAAATTTTTTTTTCAAGCTTTGCTTCTCTTCACAGTATCAGTTCTGAAGAGGCCCATAAAAAATTCATGAAACTTTATCAAGAAATATTCCTGCAACCTCAGACATGTTTACCCAGAATACAACTCAAGACTAGGATGTGAGTAACTTTTCTTTTTTCTTTTCATTTTTAAAACATTATGCACAGTGCTAATTAGTGTATTATGGGATCAGACCACTTGTTAAAACTTTCACTAAGGAACAAGTAAGTTTTGCATTGAAGTCTGTGGGGCAGACATTATGGAGTCAATGCAGAATTGCTATATTCCTAGGAATTCTGTCTAAAATCAAGTGCAGATCATGTCTGCTTAGTTTCAGTGAGCTGTTTGTGATCAGTTTCAGGTAATGGTGTAATCCTCTTACCCTGAGACGTAGTTTATTCAGCTGCAAAACTTAGTACTTAGTAAACACTGTAGCAATGTAAGCTCAGTAAAGCTCAGAATTAGATCAGATTACCAAATAAAGGAAGCATGTTCAAATGTAATGTAATCTAATTATAACATACATTTATGTGTTTGTAAAGTAAGTTGTTTAATTCAGGGTTTGTTTGTGATGTCCTTTAAACAATTTCACATTCAAACTAAATGCATGTAAAGTACTGGTTCTCACCCCCAGGATGAATGTATTTGATTGAGAATACAGTGAAGTAGTATTACAGTTTAATAGAAAATCTGCTTAATATTTTTAGGAAACCAGGAGAGTGTAATTTTAGTGTCATTGAGATACCGTTATAGTTTGTGTTCATATTTTGAATTAGATTTTGTTGTGTATACTGTATATATATATATATATATATATATATATATATATATATTCTGCCTTCATGTTAATTTTAGTTAAAGGTTTAGTTGTGTTTTTTGAGATTTTATTGTGTTCGTCATTTTCATTAGTTTTTGTTGTTTTTAAATATGTCTATTTAGCTTTTATTAATTTTTGGAAAATTGTCTCCGTCTCTTTAATTTCAAATTTCAGTTATTTTAGTACATCAAGTTAAACTAAATGTAAACAATAAATGCTAAAAATGTAAAAAAAAAACTTTTTTTGATACTTTTTTAAAAATGTAATTTTATTTTATTTCAAGTAATGCTTTTTTTTTTTTTTATTACAGTTTTAGTTTTTATTTTTGTTAACTATAATAACCCTGAACCAGGATACTTTTTTCAAGATTCAAAATAACAGCATTTTATTTTTAAATAAAAAAGTTTTGGAACATTATAAATGTATTTACTGTCACTTTTGACCAATTTAATACATCCTTACTGAATAAAATTAATTTCTTAAAAAAAAAAATTACAGAGCCCAAACTTTAGAACAATTGTGTATATTAAAATCAAATGTGAAGGTGCTTTCAGCAGGCCTCTGAATAAAAATGTATTTGTAATATTACTGTTATTTTTACCTCTTGGGAAACAAACAAAAAACGGTATTGTACTGTTACTTTTCTAATAAGAGTGTGCTGGAGCAGTTTTAGCCTCCACGTCAAACATGCGTCAATATTCTAAAAATCGCCTTTGTGCCTTTTTTGGAAAGTAGCATCTTGTCGAGTGAAAGTCACAAACAGGAAGTGTTTTATAAAAGACACGTGGGCCGCACCCCTGCAGAGGCGTGATGGAGAAACTGAAGACCTGTCATTCATTTCAGTCCCACTGTAGTCCCACTCAGAGTTGTTCTGAGTAATGTTTACAGTCCTCTCAACAGCCTGCTGGAGCAGCAAAAATGAATGTTCTTGTGGGTAGTGACATATGAATCATGGCTCTAATTGGCTGGAATATAGATCTGCTCCCAGTAGGAATCAGGTGTCTTGAATAGCGCTCGCAAAGAAGGGTTATTTAAGGATTGGTAAAAATGAAAAATGGTGAGTGATTATCTTGTAAATCAACTTTAGGACTGTGGTTAAGGTCATTCTGATTGAATGCACTGCTTAATGTGGCTGTGCATTTCAGTTACACTATCAATCAAAAGTTCAGACACACCTACTCGTTCTTTATTGTTACTTTTCCCACATTTTATAATAATAATAATAAGAAAGTCATTAAAACTATGAATTCACACCAGTTGAAGTATGGAAATTATGTCTTATATTTGAACATACGGTATATACGTTAGGCTACAGTGTATTTATAGGCACAATTTATATTTGTCTACAAAACTAATTTCAAAAAGGTTTTATGATCATAAGATGTTTAAATACATTTGTTTCTTAAAGGAATAGTTCACCCAAAAATGTAATTTGCTGAAATTTACACACCCTCAGGCCATCCAAGATGTAAATGAGTTTTTCTTCATCGGAACAGATTTGAAGAAATTTAGCATTACATTACTTGCTCACCAATGGATCCTCTGCAGTGAATGGGTGCCGTTAGAATGAGAGGTAAAACAGCTGATTAAAAACATCACAATAATCCTCAAGTTATCAACTTGTGAAATTAAAACCTGTGTGTTTGTAAGAAACAAATCCATCAAGTCGTTTTTTTTACTTCAAACTGTTGCTTTCGGCTAAAATACGAGTCCTATATATTATTATATAATATTATATAAATAATATTGCTTTCTCCAGTGAAAAAGTTGTCTCATCTGAATCAGTTCACTGCAGAGGATCCATTGGTGAGCAAGTGATGTAATGCTAAATTTCCCCAAATCTGTTTTGATGAAGAAACAGACTCATCTACATCTTGAATGACCGGAGGAAATTTAAGTAAATTTCCGCAAATGTTAATTTTTGAGCGAACTGTTCCTTTAAGATATTTTCTTCTGGTCATGCAATCACTTACAGTATAATGTAACATCTCTTTTTTATGTCTTGCAGTCCAAAAGTGTTAAACTACATTTCATCATGAATATTATTTTATACAGAATTTATTACATTCTGATTCAACAGCACAAACTTTGGAATTGGCAAATGAAGGATATAAACTTTACGAGAATCATCTGACTCTCATTCTGACGGCACCCATTCACTACAGAGGATCCATTGGTGATTAAGTGATGTAATGCTAAATTTCCCCAAATCTGTTTTGATGAAGAAACAGACTCATCTACATCTTGAATGACCGGAGGAAATTTAAGTAAATTTCCGCAAATGTTAATTTTTGAGCGAACTGTTCCTTTAAGATATTTTCTTCTGGTCATGCAATCACTTACAGTATAATGTAACATCTCTTTTTGATGTCTTGCAGTCCAAAAGTGTTAAACTACATTTCATCATGAATATTATTTTATACAGAATTTATTACATTCTGATTCAACAGCACAAACTTTGGAATTGGCAAATGAAGGATATAAACTTTACGAGAATCATCTGATCTTCTCTATTCCTCTTGGCAGCCAACCTCCAGTGAAGCTAAGAGTATATGAGTCCGTCCAAGAGGTCAGCAGACATCAGCCACATGGAAACCTGGCTCAGGAATCACTCATGAATCATGTGATTAAAGCCCTTAAGAAATTGTGAGTATGACTAAGTGTTCTTTGTGGGTAGTTTAAAGGCCCTCTGGACATATTGATGATACAAACTGACTGATATAACACACACATTTATACGGTTGGTCAGGCCTGATTTGAATCTGTTGGGGTGAATCTCATTAAATCTGTCAAACAGGTCAGATTTCTCCCCAAAATCAAAAGCTCATTTAAATGAGTACATTTCCTCCTGAATTTCTCATTACTTTCACGCAAAAAAAAATCTAACTTTCATAATGTGAAACAAAATATGTACCGTTAATGATATGTTTTAATGCTTTTAATTTATGCTGATTTTAATAGAAAAATGTGTTCAGACAGAACAGTTCTCATTACTGCATTACAGATGAGAAATGAAAACATCCATATGCATTACACTAATGAAAATTGTGGATTGTGTCAAGTCTGTTGACTGGTTTATTATTATTAGACCGACACTGTTTTATCTATTTGTAATTTATAATATACTAAAATTGACATCTGACTCTCCAACATCTAGTGCAGGGCTGTCCAAACTCTGTCCTGGAGGGCCGGTGTCCTGCAGAGTTTAGCTCCAACCCTAATTAAACACACCTGAAGCAGCTAATCAAGTCTTACTAGGCATAGAAACTTCCAGTCAGGTGTGTTGAGGCAAGTTGGAGCTAAAATCTGCAGGACACCGACCCTCCAGGACCGAGTTTGGACAGCCCTGATCTAATGTTTCCATCTACCAACAGAGAGCAGTGTAGCACCTTTTCAGCATGTCAAACAAACATGACTTATTTCTGCTCAGGGCTACAGGCATCTCAGAATTTCTTTGGTTAATATTTAAATAGTTTTAGCCATATGAAAACTGGCAAATGAAAATCATAGCTTTCATAAAAATGAGGAGGACATTCGGAGAATTCTCTGTTGAATGACATCTGGTAACACTTCATTAAGAGCATAATAGAGAATGGGACTAATCTCCTGCCCTCTCTGCCGCTATCTCACAGTGTAATCTTAATTCATATCGATAGGGCCCTGTTTTACTTTCCTGCTGTCACAGTTCATTAATGTGAGAATCATTGAGGTGGAGAGAGAGAACAATATAGCTTTCTTTAGCTCCCTTGTTGAGCGGCACAGGACTGTGGGATTGAAATTTCCAAATATTATTTCCTCCTCTTATATGTTGCTTGTAGGTGTTTGGATATTGTTCCTTGTGATATAATCTCCCTCATTCATCCATTGAACTTCCCAGGGATAATGCATCTGGTTTTTATTGGTTGTTCTTGAGCTTTGTATATGGATATCTTTCAGTGCAGGATTGGAGCACGGTTGGTGTGAAAAATTAATATGAACTAGATTTTTATATTTTCTGAAAGAAGAAAGCTTAACCCCGAGCCTCTATGATATTTTGCTCACTATACTGTGTGGCACAGATTACTCTTTTATTTTACGCTATCAATCGAAAGTTTGTGGTTGGCAAGATTTTTTAGTGTTTTTAAATGTATGAAGTCTCTTATTCTCACCAAGACTTTTTTTAAAAATAAAAAACAGTAGTATTGTGAAATATTATTATGAATTATAATAACTGTTTTCCATTTTAATAAATTTTTTAATGTAATTTATTCCTGTGATGCAAAGCTGAATTTTCAGCATAATTACTTCAGTATCACACAACCCTTCAGAAATCATTCCAATATGCTGATTTGCAGCTCAAGAAAAACGTCTTATAATTTTTTAAAACACTTGTGCTGCTTAATATTTTTGTGGAAAACGTAATATGTTTTTTCAGGATTCTTTGATTTATAGAATGTTGGAAAGACAGCATAGAAATACAAATACTTTGCAACAGCGTGAAAGTATTTTCTGTCACTTTGTCATCAGTTTAATGCGCCAAAGTTTAATACACAAATTTTGAAATCTTTAAGCATTAGCAAGCACCACCGTCCCGTAGGAGAAGCTTGCACCAGTGTACCATGGTAGAACATAATGAGAGTGAATACCGAGCACTCGGTATATGATAGATGGACTGTGCCTTAGGCGGAGTTAATGGAGGCAGATGGCTAAGCATTTCTCCTGGATTGCTTCACTACTTTGATGTGCTTTGCATGCTTAGTTATAACAAGGGAACATTTGTGCTTTAATGTGCCATATTACAGCTGAGTAACATGGATCACGTACAGAAAGCTTCATGCATGGGCAGCTCGAAGGAGAACTTCCTGTGATACCCGTTCTGCATTTGTAGTGACATTACCTACGGGGCTTTGCGAGGCCCTTGTAGATGGTTCTTAATGCTTTTTCATGTCTTCACGTGTTTTTTCCCTCCCAGCTCAGTCTCTAGATATCTGGGTCGTGTATGCCAATTGCCACCGGGGGAATTAGTTTGAAAGATGTGAGCTGGATAAGAGAAATAGGTCACGATTTTATTCGATTTGGGAGACGGAATCATCTCGTGCCTGCGAGGTTCCGCCTTGTGACATTCAGCGAAGTGTATTGTGAAAGAATCTCAGCCATGTGGAAATGAGATTAGAAAGGGTAAAAAATCGCACGCTCATAGTGATAGACACTCGGCGGTTTCACAGGAATCACTATCAAATGATGAATGAAGGCCCAAGGGTTTGTTTTAAAGGTAAACAAAATGCTGATATGGTTTAAAGTCAACATGAAATCTAAATTTACCCTGTTACTTTCTTCTTTTAAAGCGCATCGCTGGTCACATTGTATGTTATGGCTCTTTAGTGCATGTTATTCTAAAAAGAAAAAACCTCGTCTTTCAATGAAAAGGCAATAACATGCTTTGATTTTGAATGATATGCCCTTACATTTAAACACTCACATTTCATGGCCACAATCCAATCCATCCCAGATGGATAAAATGAAGGGCCAGGCTGTGGCATTCTCATTGAATTTCCTGTTTCATAGTCAGCCCCTGCTGGTAGATATCATAACTACTTCATTTTTAAGCAAGCAAACTAGAAAACACTTTGTTATAGTAAGTTTTGCCGATGGCTGCATTTGAATTTTTTTGGGGAAAAAGGACTGCTGAAATTTTTTCATTTAAAAATATTACTATTTTTACTATATTTTTTATTAAAACCTTTCTTCTTATTTTCTTATGTTGAAAACAGTTGTGCTGCTTAATATTTTTGTGGAAACCACAATACACTACCTTTTAAAAGTTAGGAGTAAGATTTAAAAAAAGTAATTAATAATTTTATTCAAAAAGGAAACATTAAATTGATCAACAGTGACAGTAAAGACATTTATAATGTCAGTAATTATTTCTATTTCACGTAAATGCTGAACTTTCTATTAATCAAAGATTCTTGAAAAAAACAATTAATTAATTTTTAACTACTGAACTGGATGCTTCAACTTTTTTCAGAATTGATAATCAGAAATGTTTCTTGAGCATGTCACACTGAAAACAGCAGTAATGATGGTGCAAATTCAGCTTTGCATCACAGGAATAAATTACATTTGAAAATATATTCAAATAGAAAATAATATTTTAAATTATTGTAATAATATTATAAAATATTACTATTTTTACTGTATTTGTGATCAAATTAATGTAGTGTTAGTGAGCATGAATCCTTATACCTTATCTTATAATCTTATATAATCTCTCTCTCTCTCTCTCTCTCTCTCTCTATATATATATATATATATTTGTTAGCATTTATAATTAATAAATAAACATTAATATACTTAATAGCTTGACTTCTTTGGATTTTGTTTTATTTTTTATCTGCCTCTTTTGACATCACAGCTAGGGATAGTCACTAGTGAAGGGTTTGGAAATGTATTCATTCATTATGGTGCCATCAACCATTAAAGTGTTGTCATGATGTAATCTTCTGGTGGTTCCAGAGTGATTAGTCACTTGACAATTGCACCTCAGTTGATTAGTCTCATAACAACTTAGATGTGGAACTGAGAGCCCGTGAGCAAAGATGACAGATTTCAAATCGCTTAATTTCAGGGTGTGAATGTGAGTAGCTTTCTTAATTCTAAATCTCCTTGAATGTTGAATATCCTCTTTGATATGTCAGATTTCAGACTGTGTTTTTTGTTGACTGTAATGCAGACTTTAATTTGTAATTATCATTTGCACCTCAGTGTCATTGCTCACCTCTTCTAAGTACATTTTGAACCCATCTGAAGGTCATCCGATGACCTGGTGTGTGTACATACACTAACCTATATGGGTTTGTTGTCTAGTGTGTCTTTACATCTGCTCTTGTCATAAAGCCAGTTTTCCCCATCCAGGTCTCATGGGGAGCTGGACCAACTGTGCTGGCAACACATACACACACACTTACACACACACTTCCTGCTCTTGCACACTGTTCCCGTGAGAGCTTGTCTCTCTGCCAGCTCTGGAGGCAGGAAGTGCTTGGCTTCCCCCTGTGCTGGCTTCGCCCATGTAGCTCCACGTCCAGGAGGCCATTGTAACAGTCAGAGCAGGGCAGTGATGGGGGGAGAACCAGCGGAAGACATTCAGCTTATTTAATGAAGGAAGCCGGCCAGCACAACCTGCTTTGTGTGCACTTTCTGACTGTATTTTTTTTTATAGTTCATGTATTTATTTTGCTCTGTGTTTCAGGGCTCTGACCCCTCCTCAAGACTTCACCCTTTCCCACAATCCTCCTCCTCTGTTTCCTGGGGATGTGTGCTGGACAGAGAAACACACTTTGACCCAGAAAAGTTTTCAATGTTACCTGAAACTATAATCAGGGCAAATATGCGGCACATACGTACATATATATGTATGTATACATATATACGTATATATATAAAAGACTATATATATATATATATATATATATATATATATCTATATATATATATATCTATATGTATGTGTGTGTGTGTGTAAATATATATATATACACTGTATATGTGTGTATATACAGACTTAATGATTGGCTCAAAAAGCCTCATTTATACAGTTTTTCACATATATTAACATTTCAAACCGCAATTTAACGTCTGTCACCATCTATATATTCAGCCAATGG